AAAGGTATAACAAGTGCATGCTAGGTTGAAAACGTAAAATGTAAAAATCAGTCCAATTACATTTTCCACTAACATATTTTGAATGATAATGAAATATTTAGAAAGTCAAATTAATGCGTGATATGTCATTCGTTTCCACCCATCACACCTACGCCATGACGAAATCAACAACTTTTATGAACCATGTTAGGTACAAACTACTCATGATGAGCACGCAGTGATTTGAGAATGCACAAATGTAATATAGACATCGGAGAACGATGTGTTGAAAACACATTACTATTAACAACAGAATATAAAATACTAATGAGCATCAAGCGCATTATGGTGATGAAAATTGTGAATATAGTTGCAATTTCTACACAAGATATCATTGGTATAATTGAAAGTCACTTGGTAGTACATCAACATTAGTTAACTTGTAAATACAGTTATAAATGGTACTTGTATTATTTGTAAATTGACCAGTTCTCATTACAGATACAATTCGTTTTATCTAAAAGCTCGAATTAAGCACATTTTTGGAATAAGATCAGACAAAAAGCTATGTGGCCTAGTAGAAAAGACACAATAAGCCATGTTATATGATCTATAATTAAATTCATTGATATTTAACATACAATAACACAAAGTTTAGTGTACGATATAAAGCGAGTTAATTATACATTTTTGTACGTGAAGTGTATTATTAAGTAAGTATTATTATGTATTATGTTATGAGCATTATGTATTAATGTAGAATAACTGCATCGTCCTACTGTAGTATTTTGGAACATTATATGGATTGTACGCAATACGCAATAACTAGTCCATGAATAACGGCTATAACATAATTCGATAGTTGCAATGCACATTAAAACAAGTACCTCTAATATAATAGTAAGGTTCTACCATTTCAATTTGTGGAATCATGTATAACTTAAAATTGGGAATATAATTACATAATACTAAACGTATATAAATACATACAAATATACGACATACACAAGAAAGAGGATTCGTAAGCGGTGGCACACCGAAGTAAATCTTCGAATAAGTTGGTTCAAGTCTAGACTATTAGACAGTGAGTAGGGTACATAATGATACAACACTGATAAGTTAAGATTATCTATCTGTTAACGATGTATTATTGTGGTAATACTATACAGAATGTCAAGAAAGATAATTATATCGATTTCATTAAAGAGCACCAATGGCGTTCATACGGTGAGGAGGGGGTCTCCGGGTTAGTCCCCCGGGGCTAAAACAAAAGAAAAGATTTTAATATTGTTGATGACGTGTAATATATTCATAGTTTCATTGTTTCGCTTTGAATTTAAAATATACAACTATTCAAATATTATAATAATTAAATAAATATATTGATAGGTGTTTGAAAAGTTTTGTTAACTTTGTTGTTTTTATATTCCTATACCTACTAATTTACTGTATATGTAAAAGTAAACTGTAAATTGTTAAAAAAGTTGTATAAAATAATATCTATTTATAGCAGTTATTTATCTGTGCAACGAAAACAAAAGATAACGATTATTTTTGTTAACCCCCCCCCCCCAGAGCAAGATTAAATGTACGTCACCGAAGAGCACTTAATATTTTTCTCCTTGTTATGTAATTTATGATGTTATCAACTAACGTTTATCCGGTGTACATGTCGACGGGGTACTTAAAACTTGATAGGTCACCAACACCTACCCCTCCCACGCTTATAAAATGTGAGGCCACAGCGAATGGACGCGACGAACATACGAAGACATGTGGGTGAGGAGAACGAGAGCACGTATATTACCGAGAGATACGTACGAAGGGCAACGCGGCCGCGGACAGCGTGGTCACAGGAAACCGGATGGACGATTGGGCCGCGATCGCTGGCTGCAGCGTGGCCAGATGGAAGGTGGCCGCGGACGGCTGATGCAGTCTAGCGGCGGATTCGACGGGATTGCCGCCGTCCAGCGACCGGCTACGCGGTTTGTTGACGGGCGGCACCATCGCGGACGGATCATGTTGCTGGCTGAACATCCATCGGAAGTACCACGACATCGCCGGGGCATATTGGGCCGGATCGCGCACCACCACGCGTACGCCGACAACTCGGACGACCGGAGGAGCGCACGAAGAACAAAACGGAACCGATATAAGTATTGTCACGATGTTGACGTACACGCGACTGCCGTACGAGACGACCGACTGATTTCTGCGAGTGTGCGTGCGTGCGTGGTTCGGCGGTTTCGGCTTACGTGCTGGCCAACACGGACGGCTGTTGTCGAGGACCGCCGCTACGGTGACGGTGGCGAGGAGGATGGGACAACGACGACGATATGTAATATAATTATTATAGTTTTCGACGAGGAAGGGAACCGGTTCTGGGTCGTTGCAGCGCTCGCCCGTCGGTGGCAGAGGGGAACGGGGAAAAAATAAATAAAAATAATATTTCTTCTAGAACAAAATAATATTTTATTATTATGATTGTTGTTGTTGTTGTAATATTATGTGTGGAATATATAAAATAGAAAAGAATGTGTTAGTAAAATAAAAAAAAACAGAACAGAACGGATTTTTGCGGTGTAACGCTGCCGTCGATGGAACGTGCGAGCGAGCGGACACGTAGAGTCCTTGGTGGCAACAGTGGTGGGAGGGAGGGGAGGGAGGCAGAGGACACGCGGGATAGGCGTATTACAACGTTTGCGGGTAATTAGCTGCAGTACAATGTATCCAAGGTTTTTCGTGACACTTTCACTGCACGAACGCCAGTGTCGCGCCACCGATTCTCAAACCGCCTGGTGGGCTAATACAAACGGCACTGCAGGACGTTTTCATAACGGTCTCGGAAGTCCTTTTCGCCGCGCGAGAAAGGATAGCAGGCAGGGGAAGACATCTCGAGATGACAGATGTTACCTAGTATACTTTGCTAAGCTAAGCGCGTTCATAAATACTGAGTGAAAAATAATATCGTACGGCTACTGAGTATTATGGTACACGGTGTAATTGGTTGGCTCAAAACAACATATAAAAACCATTATTCCAACTTGATCACCGCACGAAAAAACTATAAGCGTGTGCAGACACTGTTGGCAAGTGGTGCATTCCTAATTTTTTACATTCATCCAATACGTTTTCAAAACAGAAAAAAATTTGGTAATTTTTTTTTTAGAAGACTATTGATATATTTAATCTTCACACTTGTCACTTGCGCAACTGGTTTCAGTTACTCGACTCTTGTTTCAGAACAGTCGCTTATTAAACGGAATACGCAGGCCGGAGGGTTTTAATTATAATATTTCATAATAATAAATAATTGGGTATCTGCTTTTGTAAAAAACAACAAAGTAGATCTTTGTCGGTCTAACGCTATCTAATAAACACCAGTTTATATTATATTCTATAATGACTATAATGTAAATGCAAAATACTGTTTTATTTTTATATGATAGGTTAACTTCTATAAGACGACGTAGTAGAAATATAAGATATTACAAATCTATCTAGTACCAACTATTTGTTTTCTATTAATATATATTTATCAATTTCAATTTTTAATTGAGGCATATTAATTTAGCTGCCAATAATGATCCGTGGAAACTTATGTTTCACAATATTTTTCAAAATAAACTTGAAGCCGTAAGTGGTGTATGTGCATATTCTGCACCACCCGTGTATGAACATGGTTCGAATTTAAGCAGTGAGATTTCCAGTAATGGAGTGGGACAGATAAATTCTAGTAGGCATACTAACCACAGAAGTATATGACCTACACACTACTGTCGGGTTTACGAGACAGTTTTCTGTTTTAACTTTTTTTATTTTAAATCTGACTGAGAGCAAATAACATCAAGTTATTCAACATTAAGAATTTTAACTATGTACGTTAAACAAGTGTACAGGATTTGTTTCATAAAAATATTAGCAATATTAGGTCAGTGGGTCTGGACGAAAAACTATTGTATCAGATCACTAAGCAGGAGGGGCAGGAGTATCTCGTGTTAATGCGCGTGCCACAGTAATTACAAGAACGCGTTGTTTTCCTAAGCGTACAAACAATGGTTTTTGTTTATAAATTAATGCCAACAGTACGTACACAGCAAAATAAATTTCAGAAAATCAAACATAAAATCAAGTCACGTAATCATATTTAATCTTTACTAAGATAACTAAATTTTTTAACTCCAACAGAAAAAATGATAAGTCTATAAAAAACAAAATTTTAAATGCAATTTTAGAAAAAATGTATATATTATTTATATTAAAGTCGTTATTACTTATATACACATTTTATCGTTGTCATTAATTAGCAAAAACGAATATAAAAATGCTGTTGCAAATCAAAGTTTTTCCTACAACATATGACTTATTTTTTCTTATATTTACCAAGTACAATATATCAGTTCCTAAATTTAACATTTGGTTGATTTTAGATATGGTAAGTTTATTGTTAACCGATACAAAAATTAAAGTTTACTGTGGTTGGCCATTTCAAATACCATAACACTATTAGTAACCCCCAAATATATATACACACACACATCAAAATAACTTGCATACATTTTAAACTGATTTTCGGTGACTTCAAAAGTGTACATCTATGATCCAAAAAATACTTAAATTTAACATGTACCATAAATTAATAAAAAAATAAATTAAGACCACAATTGGTTTGTTTTAAATAACATTCAACAATTTTTACTTTAAACATATACAAAAAAATTACTTCTTTAAAATCTATTAACTATATTTGGATAATTCCAGATATTTATAATCTTGAAGAAATTAATCAATAGGTTTTTAACATTTTTTTTTTTTTTTATATCATATGATAAAATATTTTAATGTTCTATATTTAAAACCTCGAAATGGCAAATATAACATAAATCAAACAACTAGGAACTTAAGAATATTTTGGATCATTATACACAATTTTTTTTTTTTTTATTGTAATATTAATGGTCAAAATGTTTTTATTTAATTATTATTCAATATTAGATAGGTAAAAAATATATTAAACTTACAGCTTTCCGTTTGTCTTCAGCAGAAACTGCACTTTGAGATCTATGTCTAAATAAATCCATCATTTTAGACACAGCTCCCTTAGTGCTAGAACTATCTGATCCAGCTCGTGGTCTTGCAGCTACTGTAGTTTGTTTGTAACGATTACGAGCAGCAGGTAGTACTGAATTAGTATGTTCAGTTGTATCAGTTGAAGCAATTGATCCACTAATACTATTTCGAGCACTTGATCCAGGAGATTTAAGAGTTTGCTGTAAATTATTATACATTTAAAATATTGATTGGATTAAAAATAACTACACATTTTTTAATAATTAATACTTTTAAAACAAATTATTACACAACTGAATTTATCTAAGGAACAAATTATAAATATTTATTGGCTAATAAAATAACCAATTAAACATATAAAATAACAAATCAATTGGCTATAATTTTCAAACCAATTTGAGTGCATATTCTCAAATGATAAGATACTAATGTGTAAGGTACTCAAAATTAAATGAATAATAAAAGATATAATATATTATTAGGTTGCAAAAACACATAAATATATCAAATCCATTAGGAAAAATTTATTTTTTCACTAACATGACATCCATGTTATAAAACTAATCTAGTTTGTGCAGAGAAATGAGCAAAAATGTACTTAATCTGATTGAATAATTAAAATGAAATACATTTGTGTATCTTTACATGATATGAAAAAGATATTGACTGGTGTATTACGTAGTTTCTTTATTATATCATATAGAATCAAATTTAAATTATGAAAAATATTTATGAAATTAAAAAACATATATTAATTGTAATTTGTACTTTTTGTTTATCCTTTGGTAATATGATAGCTGAATAATTAACAAATAATATAGCAATAATTTAAATATTGCTAGATTATTAAGATAAAAAAATTAAAATTATAATAAATTAAAAAGTTAAACAATAAAACCAGCTTCCAAAATAAAATAATTATCTTTTTTAAGAAAAGTTTATATTTAGTATTAAGGTTGGAGAAGAGGTTTCATATAAATTTGTTTTATGATCACTGAATTAGAACTTTATATTTTTAGTATATTAATAAATTAATGTTTATATTATAAAATATATTAAATACCAAACAACATCTAAATAATTTATTTTATGTAAATTTAAATTTATAAGTATAATTATTATTATTCATATTATATAGAATATTTATTTATCAAGCCAGATACTATTTCACAACACTAATGAGATTTACATACTATCAATATATTAAATAATTACAATATACATAACGATTAATATATGTTAACTACCTAATATAAGACATCACTTCAGAAATTAATTGATTCAAATCATTTAAAAATAATACTGCCTCTGATCAATTCTGTACATAACTTTTTATACATTAAATTAATAAAACTTACTTGAATAGAATTTTTCATTTGTAACATAATTGTATTATTCTTTTTAGATGCAGCGTCAGATTTTGATCGAGGCCTAAATGCATCTAAAATTGTATTTGATTTACGCGTGTGAGAAGGAGATTGCCCAGAACGAGGTTTTGGTGACATTTTCTTTTGTGATTGTTGAATTTGTTGGGATTGAGATTGTTGAATTTTATTCTTTGATGGCTGTACTTTAGGAGTACCTTTTGCTAAAATGTCATCACCAGACTGACGTCTTTCAACACCAACTGATACTTTCTTAGATTTAGCCAAAGCAGCAATTACTGCAGGTAAAAGAACAGGAGCTGACCCTCCTTTGCTCCATGTATCTAAAGAAAATGATAAAATAATATATTTTATATAAATTATTTATTAAAAAAAAAAATTAATTTTATTTCTTCAAAAATTAATAAAACTTTACTCAACTTAAATGAGTAAAAACTATAAAAATAAGTTTATTCTCATTTCAAAAGAACAATAAATTTAATATTTTCTTAAGACTAGTATAAATACATTTTTGATTTGTACTTAACTATAAGTATTATAAATAAACATTTAATCATGAAATATAAAGAAAATAAAGATAAATAATTCTTGAAAAGTTAAATTCAAATTCAAAGTTTTTATGATTACCTGAAAAATCCCGAGCAGATATTTCTAACATTATAAATGGTTAATTTATTTTTAAATTTAATACTAAAAAAAAAAAAAAAAATGAAGAGAAGTATTGAATGTTCTCTTACAGATTGAGACCTCTGTAGGTAATGACTAAAGTAAACATACATTTTTCTAGTTAGCCCTGACTTAACATTGAAATAACTGTTTATTGTTTCCATAATTGGAAACAATAAATAACTTGTGATATTGATAAATTAAAACTGATTTATAAACTGGAATTTAAAATAAAATAAATTTAATATTTTTACATTTAAATACTAAAGGCAAGTAAAATTTACGTATTTTAGAGTTAATTAGTCAAATATCTTACCAGATCTTGGTCGATTGATTGATACTAACTGGCCATCAGTATCATCTGCTGTAGTTGGCAAAGGTTGTGACCCAAGTTCCTAAAATAATAATTAATAGATAAAAAAGAAGTGATTAAAAACAAATTATTTAACTTACATTTTATAGTTTATCATCATATCAGTATAGAAAAAATTAATATTTCTAGAGAAAACATTCATATTGTGTCATTGTTTTTTTCTGTGTATTTGTGTTACACAAATTGTGCATACAAAAAGAATTTGGAGACGGTAAGTGCCTAATAAATAAGTACTTACTACTAATATATATATATATGTATATACTAAACTATAATATTAAAAAAGTTAGGTTTTTTGGGTGTGTGATGTTACAAAATGTTATAGCAAAGAATTGTATAAAAATAGTAACTCCACATGATTTATTATAATCTGTATATTATATTTGATTTCTAAAAATTTAAGGTTCATATATTAAATATATTGTAGACAGGTTACGGTTTAATAATTTTGTAATGTAATTTCAAGTCTATATAATTAAATCTAAACATTAAATTAATTTAAAAATTTAACTAATAATAGTTCAAAAATAAATAAATACTCATTCAAATTTTTAACTTTAAAATCAAAAAATAATATACTTGATTTTAAAGACTTTAGTCTTACTTGATTAAATAAAATTAATCTAAATGACACTTGAATTTTAGTTACTAAAATAGTGTATAAATCATAAATGTACCTATTAAAACAAAATATAAATAATGAAAAAATTTAAATTATAGAGTAAAATTTTTTAAATTTTAAAAACTGTTCTCCAATGTGGAAATGATTAATTTGTTATAAATTTTATGAAGTCATAGAAAAACATTTAAAGACACTTAACAATACAACATTGATGATCTAAAATCAATTTAAATTACAATTAAAAAATCTCAAGAGTTATTAAAGTTAAATTAATTATATTCATTCTTTTTACTTTTTAAAATAAATGTATGACTTAACTGTTAAGTTAAAAATATGTAATACATAACTAAACATAGTTACTAAACACGCTAAATATTCATAATATATATTTAAAAAAAAAAAATAGTCATCCATAAAAAAATAAAAATGAAATTTATTTTTATTAATAAATTATTGGCATTATATTTTTAACTATAATATATAATAATATTTCAATTTTTTTAAATTTTATTATAGTTTTTTCTTTCAACATTATAACATATTCTTGGTATTATGAATTACACAAAGAATTAAACTATGAATAACAATTAAAGATTAAATGTATATATATATTTTTTATATCACAATTATCATTATTTTGTGTGCACTTGCTTATTTTATGTATCTCAATTTTAGTAAAGTAATAATATTCACTAGAATCACTTTAACCCAGGAACAAAATATAACCCATAAAAAGTAAAAAGAAGTTATTTTATATTCATACCGATCGACGTTTTGATGTTTCTGGATCATATCGTTTAATCCATACATCATCCATTGAGTCGTAGTCTAAAGTTGAAGTCGAAGATGCTTGAGACTTCATTTCTACTAGATTAACGTCAAAAAAATGCTTATCTCTATGGTGTGATGGCGGTGAAATTGGTGGTGTTGATTTAGCACTGATATTAGTACTATTTGGTTGATCCTCAGTCAATGGTGATTTCAAAATATTTTCAATATGTTCATCTTCTTCTTTACATTCTGAAAGACGTCGACCAACAAACTGATGACTTCGCGATGGTAAGCGGTTAACATGGCGTAAAAAATAATGTTGAAACCAATCTGCGTCTTCTGGACTATCTTGAGCTCCTTTAACATAATTATAACAAAGAATTTATTAAAAATTATGTTTATATAAATATAATTGATATTTAAATGGACAATTTTATTTGTAAGAGTTCACAAAATTGATTAAGTATATGTTTAAAGTTTGATTTTAAGTTTTAATAATTTTTTAATAATAAATATGGTAAAATTCAAGTGTAGTTGGGTCTTAAATTTTTGAATTTTAAACATCTACTATTATTTTTTTTCTTCAGTTTACTAAATTTAATGATCATAGCTTATTACAACAAAATTAAATATATAATTTATTTTTACATAATCATGAAGGTTAGTGAGTTATTAAAACTACCTCTTGGACTAATTTTAAGAAAACAGTTAGTTGTGATAACTAGTTTGAACAAAAAATATGTTTTACCTAAATATAATTTTCTTTTTTCAAAATAAATGAATTGCTTAACATAATGATAGTATAATATATAATGTATTAAGTGATAAAAATAATATAGAATACATTTTATTATTTAATTTTATGAAGTTGTTCTTTGGAATAAAATGAATTATGTAATGAAATAAAATTAAAAATAATTAATAAGTATTAGAAGTGGTGTTTAAATCGTTTATATAATTTTTAACTAAACTATTTTTTGTTAAAATTGTTTCATGATCAAAATTATGTGTAGTGTTTTTTATTTTTACTATCTTAAAAACATCTACAGACAAATTGTACATAATTTTAACAAAACAAAATATTATTTAAAAAAACAATTAGTAATAATAAGATACAACTATATCTTTAAAATGCAATTAATAGAAATAACAATCAAATTTTATTTAAATTGTTTGTTTTAATCAATATATTGAAGTGGTTACAATTCAGAGAAAATTTTTTTATGGCATATTTAATAAATAAAAACAATAAATTAATAAATTATAAACAGAAAAAAAATTGCTAAACGAAATACAAGCAATACACATTTGGAGTTGCACTAATTAATTATTATAATTTATAAAGGATAACTTGTGATAGCCAAACACAATTGTGAAATAATGAGCTTTAAAAGTACAAAAACAATGATGGGTATTCTGAAGAAATATCCAGTTTTATTTTGGGGTAGTAAAGATAGATATATACTACAATTTATCTAATTTACAGTTAATATTATACTTTACAACCTATAGTATATAATAATGAAAAGTGCTCAAGAAAAGTAAGTAAATGAAATCAAATTGAATCTATTTATAAACAGTCAAAAAATCACTACAAAAATCTTTTTTAAACATTGTATATATATATAAAACTATAAAAGAAAAATGAATTCCATTTCTTTTTACTCTATATATTTATAAAAACAAAAATAAATAAACAGGATCTTAAAAACAATTTTATAACAGTACATTTTAAGTAAATTAATAATTAACCATTTTAAGGAAACATAAAAAAAATTAAGTTTTTATATTTAATAAGTTTAATTAGATTATTGTTTTTACCAGAAAAATTAAAATTCATTGTAAAGTATTTTATTAATATAAAAAAAAGTTTCTCCCAAATATATTAAAAATTTAGAATTAAAATTTAATAACATTTTGAAAAAGAATAAAAATATAAAAAAAATGCTTATTTTTTAAGCATTTGATACGTGAATAAACTATTAAATTGAAAACCAAGATTCAAAACTATTGATAAATAGAAAATATAATATAATATGAAGATTTTTTTTATTTTGATCTCATCATATTCATAGAGATCACCCCTACATATCTTAGATTTTTCAATATATATATATTAATAATTTTAAATGTAAATTTAACATTCACTTAGTAGTCTGTAAGAACATGTTAATATTTCTAATGTACAGACAGCAATATTAATTAATAAAAATGTAAGACAAAAAGGATAATTTAATAAAAAATTAATATGTTTAAATAACTGAGTTTAATATACTAACATAGTTCTTAGAAAACTGATATTTTTCAATACAGATTTAAGATGTATATTTTTTAAATACAAAGTTGATTAACAATTGGTTATATTTTAAACTCTAAAAGAGTAAAATGTATGCAAGTAAATATATGTGGATAAAAACTTGACAAAATAAACAAGTTTTCTAAATTAAGTCAAATGGAATAATTGTATTTATATTTAACTCTAGTTGAATTTTTTTTTTTTTTAATCTTAAAAAAGTTCTAATAATTTAAAAAAGTAAATTACAGTTTCACTGTATAACCATCAAACAATTCCATAGTCTACTATTACAAATATTCTACTATTAAATAAATATTATAAACATTTTGTGTAAATAATAATACAACTACTTTAAAGTATTATTTTTACTAAATTTACTTTAATATGTAATTTATTAATTAAAACACAATTGCATTCAACATATAAAATGTGGATTTCACACCATGCATTTTTAAATTATTAAGTCTTTCTGAAAATAAAAGAACTAACAAAAAATAAAATAAGATAGAATAACACAGTAATGAAAAATTCTTACATGATGGTATCAATATTACACCCAATAGTTTACAATTTAAAAATATAAGAGTTAATCAACGTGTATAAATATATGCCTTTTAATAAATATACTAAAGAACTAAATAATCCAATAAAGACATAAACAATTAATATTCCTCTCTTTTAATTTTATGATTCTAAATTTTGATTGACATAATGATGATTAATTTTAAGACTATTCAGATAGTGAAATTATTTATTCTAGTATCAACTTTTGAAAGTTAAAACTATTTTTTCTTCTTCAGAATTTGGTTATTAAAAATATATAAAATTTAATATAACATCTAAAATATTTTAAATTAAAAATACCATTCAATAAAATCATAAATAATGCCTCAAACATTTAGGAGAATCAAAACTTATATTGAGATTATGATATCATATATAAAATTAATATTACCTTAAACATTTCATTAGAAACAGTTTCTTCATGAAACAATTATTTTATTTAATGAATGATTGAAAATGATTGCTATAAACGCAAATAGAAATAAAAATTATGAATATTGAAATACTTCCTATAATAATACTATTATCAGCAAAAATTATTCATAAAACAAATATGATATTTCCTTTATTCTTAATAAATACTAAGATTAAAATATTTTATTCCAGATAATCAAAATTATTAAATAATTGTAAATATATGAAAATTTAATTATTATATTTTAAGTTTAAAACTAAAATGTTTAGTTGAGAGACATTGAATTTTTGTTTTATCATTGATAAGTATACAACATTTTTTATGTAATCGTTATTTTATAAATATTATTATATTTTAAGTATTTGAAGTATTTGAGTGTTAATTGTTAATAATAATAAAAAAAACATTAAAATGTTTATAAATATGACTATATGACAAATAAATTAATGCTATTAAATTAATCATTAGCTTATTGGAAAAATATTTTTATTTAATAAATGTAACTGAATTGAAGACCAAACCCAAAACACATGTTTCACATGGACCACAGTAAGAGTAATACCATCAGCTGTTGATATCTAGGTGCATATTATATTTATTTATTTTACCAAGTATTTCTTTGAGCACGGCCATAGAAGATATGGTGTTATAATTAATGGTGTTGTAATTGATGGCAGACACCAGGTCCCCGACTTCGTCATCTTCTTCTTCGCCCTCATCGTCCTGTCCAGAGTTGTTACTTTGCTTCCCAGCCGCTGACGACATTTTCACCTTAATTTCCAATACAAAGCATCGAAACACCAGTGAACATTTTTAAGGAATGGAACCAATCAATAATATATAATAGCTCCCCCCTTAGTAAAACATTTGATAAGTTATAATAAGGGACTCCTTTACAAAAACGAAATAACATGTAGGCCATTAAATTATACATGTACATACGTATATGTATATGTACATGTATACGCAAACATATATTAAACATGAAGTAAAATTATAATCATGTGCACTATTTGACGTTGTTGTTCATGTACCTTAGATTCTCAGAAAACGTGCCGGCCAATCATGATCCGAGGCCCTGCAACGAAGTGACGAACACGGATCGACTGATGCTAGGCGCCTAGGCGTCGTCGGCCGAACCGCGAACGGATTGCCAAATAGTTCACAACGACAGTTCGTCGTTTCACAAAAGCCGAATTATATATTTATAATCTTTTGCCCCGAGTGTTTTTGTTTCGCCATATCGACGATGTGTGTGCGTGATGGGGGTGGTAGGAAGCCGCTGCTGACCCGGCCGAAAAGATAGCGCCACCGGCGGGATTGTTATTGTTCTCCTCGGTAGGTAGTACGCTGTCGTCTAGCGGCGACACTTGTTAAAAAAAATGCTTAGTTTTGAAAATACCCGGTCGTCAACAACCTTAAAAAAACGAATTAAGATAAACCCATGTTCCATTTTTATACATGTCCATACATACTCTATATTTGTTTCAATATTACTGGTACTCTATATTTAGTAAGCCGTCTGCTACATTCGAAATGTATATTAAGTGAGTTTCGAGTTTTTGAACTTCAACGACACATCTTAGCGGCAGCAGCTACACATACACATACACACACACACACACACATCCACGCTCGCATGCATGTAAAAACACGACCGTATCAGTGATTACGACACTTACCGCGGTTGTTGAGCTTATCCGTTTCGGGTCGATTTTACCAACCACTGACCATCGATTACAGATTTTTTTTTTCTCCAATGATCGTCTAACATTATTTTCGTGTTATTATTTTTCAGCAATTTAAAAAACAACACCGTCTCTCGTAATCACGAATTTCGCCGTGCTAAGCTTACCCATCGTCAGGTCGGCCATTCTCGTTTCCTCCTTTTCGTTTGTTCTTATACATGTATAGTATTATAAATGTACGCGGTGCGTGTTTGCATTGCGGTTTATTTACTCCATTTTCGGACCGTCATCGAGTGAAGTGCTACTGCTGCTGCTGATCAGTGGCAATGCACTGTAAATGAAGCTAGTTGACAACAACAGTAACGATCACCGAGAAACATTTTACTTTTTAACCCTTGCGAGACGCCGCGGTCAAACGACGGTCGCCGCCAATGCTGTTGGGGTGCTTGTTGAAAGTATGAACCACTATTTCCACTGTTATTATTACTACTATTTCTGCACAAGACTGTAGTTAATCCGACAATAGTGATGACTGAATGGAAATCTAGATCGTTACCTAGCAATTTTGAAATACTTTCTCTGTCAAACGTACCAGTTGGTCCGTCTTGTTTGCGTTCAAATTCTAAGAAGACATATATCAGTCGTAATGTATCCTTTCCGGACGACGAAAGTCAGATCGTTACTGGCGTACTTGAAACCTTGCATCCTTGGGAATCCAGTAAATAAACTAATTTATATTATATATATAGATATATAGATATTGATACATATTTAATAGTGAAACTGAATTAATAATGCATTGTGTAATTTAACTTTTTTTGTTGTCCTCAGTGGAAAACGTAACTGTTGAATTACTTACTACGAAATATAAAGAATCGTGTGAACGACACAACACTAATCCACTTTACACTGTTCTTAATCAAATAAAATCTATTGTTCCTAATCTTGAAAGGAATGAATGTCTTGAACTAAAAGGTGTTTATTTAAACAATGTTGATTGGGAAAGCTTGGAAGAAATTTTTAAAAGAGTTCAGTTTAAAACTATTAATGTCGAAGCAACAGGATTAAATGATGATGTAAGATCTGAATGATTATCTTTCCTACTTTAACATTTTTAAAAAAAGTGATGCAATGTTTAGAAATTTGTACTTGTGTATATTAAATAAAATAATAGATTTAAAATAAACTTTTTTTTTTGTATTTTCATATCAATGTACTAAATTTATTTAAATTTAAAGCCTATAAATGATATTAAATTTGGTTACAATCAATTTATAGTGAAAATAATTACATTGATTTTTCAACAATTAGAGTTTTATGTGATTTTAATTTACCATAATTCATTTCAGATCTCTATTTTAAAAGTTTTAATTAACATTTTTTGCTTAAAAATAAATAATTCTAAGGCTGTATTATATCATTATAAATATATAGATTTATAGAAATTGAAATATGCCATGTATAAATATTCAATATTTTTGTATTAAATTAATATTGATAAAAAAATATTTAATTTGATTTTGATTGGTTGTAGCTTATAAAGTGTCACATTAAACTATAAATAAATATATTTCTAAAAATAATCTTAAAATTCTATACATTTTTATATTTAAATATAATTGCAACTATAGTGATGTCTTCAAATCTTAATTTTATTTTGATTTCTCAAAGTCTTATTATTATTTTGTATGACTAATATATAAATTAATTGCCATTTGGAGTCTATTTATTTATAACTAATGACAAATATTTTATATTTATTGAGCATGCTTTTAGTGTAAACCTGTTTATTTTTGCTTGTATCTTACGAATAAAAGTATAATATGATTTATGAAAAAATATTCACTAATATATATGTATATATAATTTTTTTTCTATTCAGACAGCAATTGCATTGTTTGATATGTTAGATTTTTATGAATCAGCTATTTGTTTAAATATATCATCTAATAATGATATTGGCACTCGGGGATGGCAAGCTTGTGCTCGAACATTAAGAAAGGTAATTTGTTATTATAATTGATAAAATGATGCATTATTGATGGACATTTATTTTTATTTTTTAGTCAAAATGTTTACAACAATTAGAAGCAAGAAATACTATACTTAGCGAATCAAATATGACTACATTAGGTCGTTCATTAAAATTTGGTTCACAGTTATGCGTTTTAAAACTTGAAAATTGTAATTTGGCTGACCGACCATTAACATCTTTAGGTAATTAATTTTAATCCAATTTCATATTATTGTATTTTAATTAGTTAAAAATTTGTTTTATTTAATCAATCATATGTAATAACATTAACCTTGATATATCTATTGATAGTTTTTTCAATTAAAAATATAAAATAAATAATTTAATAATCTAATTAACACATTGTATGAACACTGTTTTAGTTTCTTCAATTAAATTTAATTTCTCGTTAAAAGAACTTTATTTGGGTGAAAATTATTTAAATGAAAATGATGCAAAACAACTTTCAATTTTATTGAAATGTAACACCACATTGCAGTTGTTGGATTTAAGGTAAATAATAATTGTGCTTATTTTTTAAATTAAAAAAATTTATATTAAACTTATTTTATTGTTTTTAGCAATAATAATATTCAAAATAAAGGTTTTAAATTATTATGTGAGAGTATTGTAGATCATAATTCTCCATTGACTATTTTAATTGTATGGAATAATAATTTGGATCAAGAATGTTCAGAATGTTTGGCAAATTTGATGGTAAATATATTCAAAAATTAATGATTTATATTTAAAATTACATTTTCTTAAATTATTTTTGGTTTTTTTTTTTTTTTAGAAAGCGGAAACAAAATTAGAAATGCTCAATATTGGCTTTAATTGTTTACTTGATACCACAGCTAGTGCTATCCAAATACCAATGCAAAATAATAAAAATTTAATACGCTTAGGATTACAGAGCACTCAAATTACTTGTAAAGGAGCTAAGAACTTAGCAGAAGCACTTGAAACCAACATTTCATTACAAGTAATTATCAAATTTTTTAGGTTTATATTTCATTATTAGGTTATTTATTTTTATTATAGTCTCAAAGTAAGTACAGTAGTATTAAATATTATATATATTTATTTAATTAAAATAAATGGTAAAGTAAGGACTTTTTCTCAGAAAAATCTAATGTATTTTTTAATTATGTAGATTACAATTGTATTATTGTAGTTATTTCACTGATTTACATAAAAAATATTTTTTGTGTTGAATTGAAGCTAATATATATTATTATATTATTATTATTATGTATTATATAAAAGAAAAAATTATTTATTATAAATTATTTTTTTGTGGAATTAATTCTTGCTCATATAATTATTATTTTACTTTATTTATAATATCTATTTACTTTATATATATAAATAAACTAATATAAGTCTTATATTCTACTCAAAATATTTTACTTAATTATTTAGAAAAATCAATTTCAATATTATTCAGTAATTGACAAACCTATAATAAGTATGAAAGTTATCTTAACATTATACACTTTACATTAGCTAAATATTAAAATATATATACTCTTGGCTTTGTTCATTAATCAATTTTTTAAAAGTTATAAATATGTAGTAAAATTACAATAACATGTGAGTACAGAATTAAATTAACCATTTATATTTGTAATTTTTTATTTATTGAATTTTGAATTAAATATTTAGCTTTTAATGTAATACTGGATCAGTTTTATAATTAAATCCTGATTGACATTTTTTTGATTTTTATGTCTTTTAAAATTATTTTAGTATTGTAATATTTGCTTTTGCAGAGATTAGATTTACGTGATAATAATATTGACATTGAAGGGCTAAGAAATTTGAAAGAGTCCATTTCAAAGAATTGTAGAATTACACGCCTAGATTTAGATCCTGTACCACGTAACAAATATTCAACTGTAAGATATTAGTTTTTCTATAACTATTTTATATTTTGATTTTTACTTTTTACCAAACTGGAATAATTTAAATAATTTTTTATTTTTTTAATTGATATTTCAGGAAGCAACTAGGGAGTATACAAATTTAGTTGAAAAGATCAAACAAATGTGTACAGAAAATGAAAGTAAACATTTGAGTAAACAAGTTGATGACAATCTACTGGACTATATTACAGATGATTCTAATGTAACAAAAGCTATCAAAATACCTAATGTTGATTCTAGAAAGATATCTCTAACATGTGAATCATTAATGATGCAGTATACTTCACACAAAAATCCCAATTTCCTTGGTTCAGATGATTACTTACCTATTTTACGAGGAAGTAGTGGTAGACTAAGAAGTCCTGCTCCAAGTCCCATTCACAGTCCAATAGCCAGTAGTCCAATGTGCAGTCCTTCAATAACATCTACACGTAATCGTTTTCATGTATCAAAAGTCTCTGAACAAAAACAAAAAGAAAGTCGATTTAAAGTGACCAAATTAAATAATTTAAATGATAAAGCGCCTACAGCCAGTAATGAATCATTATCAGATGATTCATTTGGGCCTACTAATTTAGAACTTGCTGTGGATAGTTTGGATTTATGCAAACAAAAAAATGAGTCTAAGAAAAAAGATCAACGAACTAGAAAAGTATCTTGGGTAATGGGCTCTCGTCCCTTGTTGACATCATTGCAAAACATTACTTCAAGTTTGGATCAAGCCACCTCAACAGGAGTTGATAAACTCCTCAGTTTATTTAGTCCTTTTTCAAGTGCAGACAAGACTTCAGCATCCATTGATACTGTAGAATCAAATGATTCTGTTTTTGAACAAGATCCTGAATCAAAAAAACCAGTTACACTTGATCAAGCAACATGGCCACCAGTTTTTGGTAGCTTAAAGAAAACCACTTCAATCTGTAGACCTCTATCTGATAAAGGTAGACGTAGTTTAAATGATTTGCGTACTTTTTGAACTCTTAAAAGTTGATGACCATAGATAGCCCTTTTACAAGAGAAGAAAATACATTCGTGTTAATTTTTACTATAAGGTCTTCTTATCACACGCAAATCTCGTTTACAGTAGTACCTTTTACAAACTACATTGTGATTCACAAGCACATCAGTACAAATTTTGTTTTAATCATTGTTGAACAATTTATAAATATTTATGGAATTGTTTTTAGTTATTAGTACTATAAATATAGTTTTTACACTCCTTTTAACCATTCTACAGGACTACTGTATCGAGGCTACACACTGATTACACAATTATTGATTACATTATCAGATGTTATGTAATACTTTAAAACATTTAACCTTTAAATATTAATTTGAATCATTGAAAAATAAATAAGTAACCAAACTCCATACTCTTTTAAAATATATAAACAGGATTTTTTGTAATTTAAAATTTAATTTTAGATATTTGTTTGAAGTATAACATTTATAAAATATTGGAAGTTACCACACATTGTTTTTAACAAAAAGGAACAAAGAGATAATCATATTAATATTGTTAAATTTACCATATGGCTTCTTATCTTTCCTATAATAATATTGTAAGCACAAGTTTTTCAACTACTTATTTCTTAAGTTTCACTTGCCAATTTTCTTTTATATTCAAATTAAATCAAAGAACTTTGTTAGTTATCAACTTGATGTTGTTTTAGATATAAAATCATAAAATGTGGAAGAATGTATGTGCAAAATAAATGCAAAACATATTTTGTTTCAGACTTTAGAGGTTTATAATAAGCATTCATTGTTGAGTATCTTAAAATATAAATTATGTTGAGTTCATGTTTATTTACAGAATGCATTGTTTCAGTTAAATATCTTATTTATAATCTTCTTTTTCCGAATTCTTATATATTTTTATTGACTGTGATTTTTGTCTTGGGTTTTTCTTTGTGATATTTTTTTTCTAATGATCATAAAAATACTATATAATATATTAATATATGTTTATAAAATTTGTTTTTATTTAACTTTTTTTTTTGTTTTTCTTTTTGTTATTTTCATTCAGTTACTTAAATTTTATTGAAACAAAAAATATTCCAAAGACTGACAATTTCCAAACAGTATTTGGAAAGACTTTAAAGTCAATTTATTCATTTGAAGAAACTTTACTCTTAAAATATCATATATTTCTTTACAGGTGCCATTTTTTTTCTATATTAATATCATAATGTTTAAGTCCAGACTAGTTGGAATTATTGTTACCAAATTTACTATCAAATAATTATTAAATAGTAGTTAGTCTATATTGTATTAAATTAGATTTATATTTAGCTTAAAATATATTATTAAATCTTATATATTATTATGAATGTAGGTTTAGCGTACTTAATAAGAGGTTAATTGATTTTTTTATTATATTTTTAAAATGTTGAACGATTATGTGTTCTCTGTTGATTAACTTAAACTGCTACATACATATATTTATGATCTTTGCATTTAAAACTAACGCCCTTGTTGCGATATGTTAAAAGTTGTTTCATATTTTTCTTGTGTTATTTTGAAGAAAAAAAATATATACATATAACTAAAAATGTACTTTTTAGTTATATACTATTACAAAATTATTAATTTACTTAAAGTTTATTGTATACACACTTATACACATATTACTATATATTAATTTCTGTTATTTATATTTTTTTACACATTGTCTTCAATTAATATTACGGACAATTAATTTTATTATTTTAACAGATTAATTTTTTTTCGATATTTTACAATATGTAGAAAAGTATGCATAAATATATGTACGAAGAATACTTATGTATGGCACAAAACTTAAATTGTTTACACGTGTGTCAAAGTTAAATGTTTCAAGTTTGAAAATATATATATATTATAAATTTGTGTATACTACTCATATATACTATTGGAAAATAAATATGTAGATTGTTACTTTGCGCATTAGTTTTTTGTCATTGTGTTTCAATAAAATGATAAACTCATGGGTGTTTTATGATTGTTGTTTTGGTAATAATTAATATTTGTATTATTGTATTTAATATATAATTATGTTTGAGACCATGAGTTTGAACTGTACCGCCAACCGTAATCTTTTGTACAACGACTGACGTCTATCCAGTTTGTTGGTCGGAGAAATTATGAGCCTTTGCGCATCGGCTATGCGCACATCTGCCACGCCCACTTGCGCAGAACCGTTGCGCGTTAAGCTGCGGTTACGCAGCGATAGTAAAACCCGATAGTTGCTCTCGAGACGGCTGTTGTGATAGTGTGCTGCTCAAAGTGATCTCTAACCAAGGTTTATAGATAATTATTATCTTGGTTAGAGATCACTTTGAGCAGCACACTATCACAACAGCCGTCTCGAGAGCAACTATCGGGTTTTACTATCTATTTATTATCTATAAACCTTGATCTCTAACGTCCGTCGGGTACCGATGTCTTGTTTGTCATTGATAGTGGCAGATGGTTTCAGTGTGGCCAGTTACTGTTTTCGAAGTTACGGATTCATACTACACTGTAGGGGAGTTAATACGGGTAAATAAAGTAGTTGGTTTTGCTATTGTCTTAGTGACGTTAGTTGAAATTTGAATTTTTTAAAAGTTCTTTAAAAGAATACCTTACTGCTGGTTGGATTACATTTTAAAGATTTGAAGAACATAATCTATGTCATTTGAGTTTTTCAGTTTATTTTTTAAACCAATAGACGCGTCTCGGTATTTACATTTTTTTATATAATATAAAAAAAATATTTGCCAATATACCTACATAGTAAAATGTAAAATGTACATAGTATTTTGTATAACCTCTATGAACTAATTTCAAATAAGATAATACAAGTTATTGTAAAATAACGTATTCGTAATATATATGTTAATAATGGTCTAATAATTGAAGTATAAATCAAAAGGTAGCAATTTATAATGTTATATCTAATGAAGTTTTAATAAACACAATATACCTGTTTGGGCTTGAAGAAAAAATGGAATATATATATAGAAATGGATATTTTTTTTATTTTTCTAAAATTTTATACTTTAAATGTTTAATATTGTAAAAATAATAATTATTAAACTTACATAAAGTATATTGAAAAATGTTTAATACAATTATTAAAATAAACCAATATTAATAAGTCTTCCTTAGAGCATTCGTCGAGTAAAATATCAAGATCGAGATTATTGACAATATCTATCTCAATGTGCAATAAGGTTTTAACCTAGTTTTTGCATAGTTAACAAAGATCATTTACATGATGCAGAATTGATAGTAACATGGCTACTTTAAGTAAACAATGAATATTAAGATACACTTCTGAATTTTTGTTTTTTTAATTCTTCTAAACCAAAATTTGGTTCTAACTGTATGGTACATTTGTGTGCTGCAGTCACATTTTAATGCTTCTTTATCAATAGAAAATAATGTCTAAAAAAATAAATAAATAATTTCAATTATAAAAATATTAAATAATTATTATATTTCATTTACATGTAGGTATTTATAAAAAGTGATTTATACTTGATAATGATCAAGAGATACTGTGTTTTTTTCAAATTTAATTTAATTAAATTGTCTATTGAACTTCCAAGCGCTTAACTCTCTTTTAAATCATTGGGTAACTCAAAGTGTCTTATAATTTCATCTAATATAGGTATTATAGTGCGCATTACAGTTCTTTTCCATATTATGAAATCTGTACCCTTGTTAATTATGATTCACAGATAATAACCGTTATAATATAAAATCAAATTTTTGGACTGGTACTTGGTACATATTACTTATATAAATGTCATAATTTGTGATAAATATTATTAATGTATATTAAATATATTAATATGTATAATATATTATATTATTAATATGTATATCAATAATATTTTATTCTACGGTAATATTAACACTTAGGGATGTAACACATTATTTACATAACTTCATACTTAGTTGTATATGTATACTGTACTATTTGATAGATGCTCAACTGTGAAATTTTAATTTAAACGAAAAATGAATGCTTACCTATCTAAAAAAAACACCTAGTTTTTCTTATTTTCATTAATTTTTATGACGCCCCTTAAATTCATAATACTTTATACACCCTAGGGCACTTTTCCCATTTGCCCCCCCCCTCCTTTTGACGGATATGAATCCACCTTTTGCGTAGGCATATTATGATATTCAACATCTTACCGTTTTTTTTTTTTTTATTTAAAATATTAACTATTATCAGACTTGAATGTTTCATGTTTATTTTTACCCTGACTGGTGAGTACTAAGTATGAAAACCAACAATAAAAAATGTTGAAAAGTATTTTATGAAATTAGATAAATTATTTTATTAATTATGAGGGTAAATAAAATAATACATTATATTATATTATAATAAGGGGTTATTGGCATAGGCGCACATTCAGTATGAAACTTGCAAGTGCTAAAATTATTCACCTAAAGGCAAAACCCCCCACAAACCCCTTACAACAGTGGTTCCCAACCTTTTTCATTCTATGCCCCATGGTAAATTTTATAAAATCTTATTCCCCCTCTCCCTAAAATGCGAAACTGAACGGTGGTAAAACGGTCGTGGCGAAATGGTTCGGCGAATAGTCCGGTTGCTAAACGGTCGTGGTGAAATGTCCAAGTCCGATTATATACATATATTATTAATTTTCTCAAATTTTTACTTTTACCCGATTCTGCAATAATATAATCAATCTCATATAATTTATATCTGATCATTTTTTTTAATAAATTTTACTTCTTATGATTACATTCTTACATGGGATATTTTGTCGTATCATCAAACGGTGTACTTCGATGTACTTGAAAAACTATAAAAAAATTATATTTTTAAAATATATGAAATAGGTATTCCATACTACATAATATTTTCATATAAAATTATAGATGCTTGAAAATTTTTATTCATATGTTTTTTACTAAAAATATAAATATTTATAATTTCAGTAATGTACATTTCTACGATAAGTTCAATAGTTTATTCATTATATTAAAAAAATGACAAACTAACCCTATTTTGCAATTTTTCAATCCCCTGACAGCACGTGAAGGGGTTAGTAATTATGACCAAATTTATCTTAAATTTCTTTTTTATAATAATGAACAAAGTAAATTTGGGGATGAGAAATTAAAAATATAATTTTCTTTTTATTCTTCACCTTTAACTAAAGTTTACCCTCATATATATATTAAATTGTATTTATTTAAAAATTAGTAATTTTTGTAGAAACACTTAATTTATACCTAATCAATTCGGAATTAATAATAAATTAAAAGTAAATTTATTATATTATGTCATGTTAAAATGTAAATAAATAAATAATGTAATAATGTACATTTTATTATTT